AGACTTTAGAGTTGCATGAGAATTTTCTTAGCCCAAATTTAATGTTGGGTTTACTGATGTTCTGGTTAATCTCTACTCTTTAATGCCCGTATTGATCATTAGTTTATATTTATAAAACCTGGCAACATTGATTTTATGTGTGTGTGTGTGTATGTATGTATATGTGTGTGTATGTGTGTGTATGTGTGTGTATGTGTGTGTATGTGTGTCTGTGTGTATGGAGCCCTTTCTTTACTCTTTGTTTGTTTGATACACCTTGAAGAGCAAAGAATTAAACGCATTACGTCTGAAATAATTAGATGATTGCTTCTTCTTCTTCTTGTGCCATATCCGTTATCGGACGTTGGCAATCATGTTGGCGATCCGGTTTTTACCAGCCGCCGTACGAAAAAGTGCTGCTGAGTTTTGTCCAAACCAGTCCCTTAGATTTTGAAGCCACGACGTTCTTCTTCTGCCTGGACCTCGTTGGCCTTCAGTCTTTCCCTGGAGGATTAAATGGAGTAGGCCGTGTTCTTCTGGGTGTCGCATCACGTGTCCGAAATATTCTAATTTTCATTTTTTAATTGTTTTGATGATTTCCCTGGGATTTCCCAGGCGGCTTATCCCCTCCTCATTTCTGATCTTGTCCACCCAGCTTCTACGTAACAGCCGCCTGTCAATCCACATTTCAAATGCTTCCAGTCTCTTCAGGTGGCCTTGTGTCAGAGACCAGCTCTCTACTCCATGGAGCAGGATAGGAAAAAATATAGCATCTGACAAGCCTGATTTTCAGTCTTAGGCTTCTGTCGTGACTGCAGAAGAGCTTTTTCATTTTGAAGAATGCCGTTCGGGCTTTTTCTATCTTCTTGAATAACTTTGGATTCTTCCCCCCCCCCCCTTTGGTCTCCTCTGAAATTCTTTCTTTTTGCTACGAGGATGAAATCTCCTTTCTTCAAATTTCCTGCAGGCATCGTTTAAATAGACGATGGCGTTGTGTGACATAACAATTCTGAGCAAGAAAAACATTGAGAATGCAGAAACAGGCTCCCTTTTCTCGGCTCCCTTTTTCTCAAAGCTCTTTCTCCCCCCCCCCACCCCAGTTTGCATTTCCAGTGTCCCTTTTCAGCTTAAACTCTTGAGTTTCAGTTAGCTACCTAGAAACAGTAAAAGCGGAAGAAAAAAAAGAGCGGGCCCACTAGGCGTGTGACACTCCTACTCTTGGAAGGAAAAACATGGCGAGACAAACTTGGCTGGCTGCCTTTGGCCAAGGCTCTTAACTGTGTGAATATATTATCTAAGGATTCCGTCCCTTTTTTCCCACTGAATGATCCCACTGGCGAATCTCAAATTCTGCATTTTGGAAATTGCATTCCTGGCTTTATCCGGCAGAATTGAAGGACTAATTTGAGGTCCTGCAGGCAGTTAATAATCTAAGAATGACATGGCATGGCATAGAGCAGTGATGGCGAACCTTTTAGAGACCGAGTGCCCAAAAACTGGCCCCGCCCCCGCTCCACCCCCACCCTGCCTGCCCGCAGGGCCACTCATCGCCCCCAGGGCCCGCCGCAGATCGCCCAGCAGCACCATGGCAGCCACGCCCTCTGCCCACGCCCCGCAGCATCAACTGTGCGTGATGGGGCATGAGGGTAGAATCTTGTCTACGCTGCCTGGCTGCCATGTCCTTAACTGCGCTGCTCCGCGTGGCCCACGCTCGGGGGCGACCCTTCTCCAGGAGGGCTGCTGGTGAGGAGAGGGTCATGGGGGGAGGCAAGGCTGGGGCAACGGCACGTGTGCCCACAGAGAGGGCTCCGAGTGCCACCTCTGGCACCCGTGCCATAGGTTCGCCACCACTGGCATAGAGACTGGAATGGAATGGAATGGAATGGAAAGGAATGGATAGGATAGGATAGGATAGGATAGGATAGGATAGGATAGGATAGAATAGAGAATAGAGAATAGAGAACAGAATATAGGATAGGATATGATAGGATGGGATGGGATGGAATATATCTTGGAATATAGAATGGAATGGAATGGAATGGAATGGAATGGAATGGAATAGAATAGAATAGAATAGAATAGAATAGAATAGAATATATATTGGAATATAGAATAGAATAGAATAGAATAGAATAGAATAGAATAGAATAGAATAGAATAGAAACTGGAATAGAAATTGAAATAGAAATTGAAATAGAAATTGAAATAGAAATTGGAATATGGAATGGAATAGAATTCTGTATTGGCCAAGTATGATTGGACACACAAGGAATTGTCTCCGGTGCATAAGCTCTCAGTGTACATACAAACAACAGAGCGATAAGTCATAGATCATACATCATAAGATACAATCATAAATCATAAAATACAAACAACAAGTGGTAAATCATAAGATACCAATAGGAGAAGGTAGTAGGAAAGATATAGAAGACGAGAAGGATAATAGTAATACAGCCCTACTACATGTCTAAGTCTGCAGACTGTATGTTTTGAGACGGGAAAGAGAAGAAGGACCCCGTTGTGGCTAAATAAACAGAATTATTTTGATTGTGGAACACGCGTTTAGCTCCATTTTGAAACTTTGCTTACGGCTTTTTTTTTTTTTATAAACAGGAAGAGGAAGTGATTCGGAGTCTGACCTGTCCCATCGAAAGCATCCAGACGTGAAGAAGGATGACATGTCTGCCAGGCGGACGTCTTACAGCGAGCCCAAATCAGTTGTGCCTTTTAACCAATACCTTCCCAACAAAAACAATCAGTCTGCCTATATTCCGGCTCCACTCAGGAAGAAGAAAGCCGAACGAGATGACTTCCGGAAGAGTTGGAGCACCATGTCGTCCCCACTAGGAGGAGAGAGACCTTTCAGGTAAGGTCTGGATCAAACTTCAGATGACCAAGTCGCGTCATCATCCACGGACATGTCACCAACAGAAGAGAGTATTTATAGCTCAGGGTTGAACTGGGGGGTCCTTGGGGAAGGCTAGAGAAAACCCCCACTCCCTTTGAGCACTGGTGTTGTTGCCTAGCTGGGTAATGAAACATCTGCAGCAAAACCAGCAAGTTCAGAGAGCGCCAAGGACCCCACAGTCTTCCTCCACTTCCTCTTCTTCTTCTTCCTCCTTATCCCCTTTCTTTTCTCCTCTATTCTACAAAACCCACTCCATTCTAGCACTGATGATGTTTAGTACTAGGGTCATGAAGCATCTGCAAAATTAATGAAACTCTGAGAATCTTGCAGTCTTCTTCTTCCTCCTCCTCCTCCTCCTCCTCCTCCTCCTCCCTTCTAGCACTGAAGATGTTCCCTAGTAGGGTCATGAAACATCTGCAAAAAAACAATGAGACTCTGAGG